TTTTGTGCTGGTTTCACTTAGCATAATGTTTTCAAGTTTCATCCATATTGTAGCACACGTCAGTACTTCTTTTTATGGCTAAATGATATTACACTGTATGAAAATACCACATTTTGTTTATCCACTCATATAGTAATGAACGTTTGGGTTGTTTAATAATGCTGCTATGAACAAGTCTTTTTATGGATGTTTTTTATGGACGTTTGTTTTCATTTCTCCTGGGTTTATTCCTAGGGGTGGAGTTTCTGGGTTGTATGATAAGTGTATGTTCAGTTATTTGAGAAACCGCTAGATTGTTTTACAAAGTGGCTGCACCATTTACATTACCAACAGCAGTGGGATCCAATTTCTCCAAATCCTCACCAACACTTGCATGGATCTGACGTTTTCTTTTTCAAAAATTTTAGTGAGTGTGAAATGATATCTCATTGTTTTTGCATTTTGCATTGCTTTTGATTTGCATTTATCTAATAACTAACGATGCTGAACACCTTTTCTTTCATTTAAAAAATATTTATTTATATAACTTTGGCTGTGTTGGGTCTTTGCTGCTGCACACACTGATCCCTAGTTCCAGCAAGTGGGCCTACTCTCTAGCCTCAGCTAGCAGGGGCTAGTCGTGGTGCTCAGGCTTCTCACTGCGGTGGCTTTTCTTGTTGTGAGGCACAGGCCCTAGGGCTCGGGGGCTTCAGTAGATGAGGCTCCTGGACTCTAGAGCACAGGCTCAGTAGTTGTGGGGCACAGGCTTAGTTGCACCACAGCATGTGGGTCGTCTTCCTGGATCAGGAATCGAACTCACCTCTCCTACATTGCAAGGTGGATTCTCAATCACTGGACCACCAGGGAAGCCCCTGTAGTAAGTTTTTAAATCGAGAGCTGTGAGTTCTACTTTGTCTCTCTCTCTCTCTTTTTTTTTTTCAGAACTGTTTCGGCTGTTCTGCATCCTTTGAAGTTCCATATGAATTTTGTCATCAGCCAAATACAAAGTAGTAAGCTGACATTCTGAAGGGGAACCTAGGAGTTAGTGTGGGGAGTGTTGCCATCTTAACATTGTTAAGTCTTCTGATCTATGAACATGGGATATTTTCCCACTTATTTAGATCTTCTTAATTTTTTCCAACAATGTTTTGTAGTGTTCAGAGTACATTTTGCATTTCTTTTGTTAAATTTATTTTATAAATTTTAAAATAATTTTTGATGCTATTGCTAACAGAATTGTTTTCTTAATGAAGTTTGTTAACTTCATTTTTGGACTTTTAATTGTATCTAGAAATACACTTAATTTTTGTATGTTGATCATGTATCCAGCAACATTGCTTAAATTATGTCATTAGTTCTATTACATTTTTTAGTGGATTCCTTAGGATTTTCTATATAAAAGATCATGTCATCTGCAAATAGAGATAATTTTACTTCTTTTCCAATTCAGATGCCTTGTATTTTTTTCTTGCCTAGTTGCCCTGGTTAGAACCTCTAGTATAATGTTGAATTGAAGTGACAGGAGTGGGCATCCTTGTCTCATTCCTGATCTAAGGGAAAAAGCATCTGGTATTTTTACCATTGAGTATGATGTTGGCTGTGAGTTTTTCACAAATATCCTCTGTAAAACTGAAGAAGTTTCCTTCTGTTCTTAGTTTGAGTGTTCTTATCATGGAAGGCTGTTGGATTTTGTCAAGTGCTTTTTCATCATCTGTTGAGATTAGCATGTGATTTTTGCTTTTTATTTTACTGTATAATGTACTACATTAATTGTTTTCAGATGGTAAACTACCTTTGCATTCCTGAGATAAATCCCACTTGGTATGATGTATAAATCTTTTTTATTATGTTACTGGATTTGCTATGCTGGGTTTTTGTTTGTTTGTTTGTTTGTTTGTTGAGGGCTTGTTTCTTTTTCTTTTTATCCTTGTCCATTAGGAACATTGGTCTGTAGCTTTCTTCTCTTGTGGAGACTTTGTCTGGTTTTGCTGTCAAGGTAGTACTAGCCTCATAGAATCAATTGGGAAGTGTTCCCTCCTCTGTTTTTTGGAAGACTTTGTGAAGAATTGTTATTAATTCTTTAAATGTTTTTAGAACTCAGCAGTGAAACCATCTGGGCCTGGTGGGGACTTTTCTTTGTGAGTAATTTTTTGATTACTAATTCAGTCTCTTGCCTTGTTATAGGTATTTCAAACATACTTCTTCTTGAGTCAGTTTCAGTAGTTTGTGTCTTTCAAGTTGGCTTAGATTCTTACAAGCGTGTTTTCAAGGCTTCTCTGTGCTCTTTTAGTCATTGTTGACATTTATTGCATCTTCCTATGAGCAAATGTTTTCTATGTGTGTGCATTTGCTCACGGAATCTTTTAAGAGGTTGATGAACTAGGTAGGGTTATCATCATCTCCATTTTACATCCTGGAAGACTGAGGCAGAGAGAAGGTAGATAATGGGTCACACAACTAGGAAATAGTAGAGCTAGGGTTTGAGCCCAATCAGCCCAGCTTCAGAGCCCTCTCTGCTGTCCCAGAGCCTTGCTCTGTGCTAGGAGCTGGGAGTACCAAAGTGAGTCAAAGCTGGTCACAGCCTGAGTCACTCCCCCAGAGACCCCAGACCTAGGAGAGGGAGGTGCCTTGGGCATAAAGTGAACAAACGGCTGGGAGGTGAGGATGGGCCCCAGGAGAAAGGGACCCAGGTGGAGCGGGCCTTGAAGGAGGGTCCAGTGCAGGGGGTGTGTGGGGTGAGTCAGAGAGTCTTCTCCCTCCCCAGGGCTTTTGTCTTCTACCTCTCCGCTCTCCCAAGTGCTCAGAGAGAGGAAAGGGCATCACAGCCCTTGGATGCTGATGCCCCGCCTGGCAGGAGCTTGGAGCACTAGGCTCAGGCCCAGGAGGTCTGTTTGAATCACCCAGGCATCCACAGTTTGTTCTCCTGGAGAGGAAGTGGCATGACCATTTGTAAGACAATTGAGAGACAGAAATCAGGAGCAACCAGACATAACTCAACATAATTATTTCTGCATAATGACTTCTGCTCTTTGATTCCGTCTCCAGTGATGACTGTCATCTGTATCTGTCACAGGAAAGCTGGTGGCCGGGGAGCCCCTGTGGCTTAGCTGATAGAGCCAGGAGGAAATTTGCAATTCGAGTTAATGGAGTGTTCCCAAGCAGACTGGGAGCCAGAGGCCTCTAGAAGGATGGCTCCTCCTGCTGGGAAACCTGGGATCAGAGCTGGCCTAGCCTCCCCAAAGGATCCGGCCTGTCCACCATGTCACAGCTAGGGACACTGAGGATGGCAGGGTCACCGGGCTCACCCCAGTCACAGGGTCGTGCAGCACAAAGGAGCACCTCTGCTGTCCCCACCCTGCAGAGCTCTTCCCAGGAGAGCTAGGATATGTCTGGTGAGAAAGAATGGTGTCCACCGGGACTAGGAAAGCTGTCACTGTCCCTGAGCTGATCCTTGAGCTTGATGTTCATGCAGGGCTGTCCCCCAGAGGCTAGAAATGGTGGGGCCTTTGTGCAGACTGACCTGCAGCCAGGGGAGGCCCCCCTGTGACATTAATTGTGGCGGGCGCCACCCCCCACCACCACCCCCTGCAGGAGGACCACAGGCCCGGGGCACATATGATCCAACTCTAGAAAAGCAAAAGCCCCCTAACCCGAGGGACCCATGGCATTCCCACGCCTCCTATAAGCTCCTGTAATTGACAAGGACACCTGGAAAGAGCAGAGCTAGGTTTTGGGGTGTGCATTTTGGACACCCCACTTGGCCATGTGTGACCTTGACATGCATCCCCAAATCTGTTTTGCTTCTCTGTAAACTGGGGGGTTAGAATGAACCCTCCCCGCCAGGGCCGATAGGAGGTCAAGATGATAAAACGACCATCAGACACATTGCTTCTAGCACATTCTGCTGCTGATTCCAACTTCCTGGTTTTCACTAGGGTGACCTGGGGAAGGGCCCTTGACCTTGTCCAGGCTTTAATTTCTCTGAATGTCCAAGCAGGGCTCCAGAGTCATGAGATGGCTTAACTGAGATCATTGACGTGAACTCGCCTTTAGAAAAATAGGGGATGAGGCGAGCAGAGAGGGATTTTAGGGCAGGGAAGCTGCCTCATATGATATTAATATTATAACGTCGATGGTGAAGGACAAGGGAGCCTGGCGTGCTGCTGTCCACGGCATGGCAAAGAGTTGGATGTGACTGAGCAACCGAACAACAGGACGTTATGCATTTGTTCAAACCCACAGAATGTACAACACCAAGAACGAGCTCCTGTGAGCTGTGGCTTGGGAGTGGTGACAGGTATCCGTGTAGGTCCACCAGTTGTAACAAAGGTACCCCAGTCTGTACAGGGAGGATGGTGAATGTGAGGAGGGTTGTGTCTGGGGACAAGGAGTAAGTGGGAACACTGTACTTTCTGCTCTGCTTTGCTGCAAACAAAAAAACTGCTCTAAAAAATAAAGTCTATTAAGAGTGTTACATGTAGGTATATACAGGTGTATATGTGTATATATAAAGTATGTCAGTGACCTCCAGTGAGCATTTCTGGTGGGGAGATGCTTTGTGTTTGCACTCCAGGCCTTGAATCCTAGCAGTGAGTGTCAGTGATGCAACCGGCATATGAAGACTTGTGTTGCTGAAGCAGGGTAGAATTCCAGCTGAGCACAAGTGCACTGTGCTTGCAGTCATGTCCATGGGATGCATTTGGGGGCACTCACTTCTCAAACACGGATTATTTATTGAGCGCCTGCTGCATGCAAGCTCTGAGCCAGGCACTGGCTACCCAGAAATGAAGGCACAGACTCTCTGCCCTTGTGGAGCTCACAGTCAGCTTAGGGGAGATACAGCCCTCATTCTGCAGGGGCGAGGGGAGCCCTGCCAGCGCCCAAGGAGGAAGAGAACCTTGTATTACGAGAAGATCATGGGGAAATGTGTGTAGATTGTACGGAAGTGACTGGCAAGGAAGTCAGTGGGTTCTGGGTCCGGGTGGCCCTGCCGCACATGACCGGTCTGTCCTCTCTTCCAGGGCATGGTCTAGCAGCCTGGGCCAGGACGTGGAAGCGGCCTCTGAGGTTCTGACCCCTGCTTTCTCTCCACTTCCGCTCAGCCTTGGGTAAGTGCTCCAGTGCGGGGGGTGGCGGGTGAGATGGGGTGAGGACAGGGTGCTGAGGGGCCTCTACCTCTCTGTGGGGTCCTGTCCTCCATGTGCCAGCGTGTGGGGACTTGACCCAGCTCAGCGGAAAGAATGGGGAAGGCTTTAGGGGGGCAGTCTGCCCAGCACCTCCATGAGGGCGCAATCTCGCCCCCACATCCCGTGGGTGGGGCCTTCCTGCCTCTCTTGTTTGGACACCAGGGTGTGGACTTCCTGAGGGAAGGGTGTTTCTCCCTCTGCCCTGTCTTTCCTTCTCTCACCTTCCCTGCTCACCCAGTGAAAGCACTCAGTGTTGTGGGCCAAGAGACCCAGGATGAGGGTCTGGGGACAGACTTCAGAGTGGGTCTCTGGGCTTTTCTCCCCAAAGAAAACAGACACAGCTCCATGGGGAAGCAGACACAGCTGCTTTCATTGGTCCGATCTTTCACCAGCCCTGTTAGAGCTGGGAAATGGGGAGGGGGCAGGAGCTGGCTCTGGCTACCTGGACATCACCTGTGTACAGAGGCCCAACTGGAGGCTGGTGGGTGGGCACAGGGGCACAGGGGGCAGTGTCTGACCAGGTTGGGTCCTCCTGAGGCTAGTAGCTGGGTGTCAGGAGCTGGAGGTGGAGGGGTCCAAAGAGGGCAAAGGAGGTGGCCCCTGGTGTCTCCTTCCATCCCGAGGACCCCTGGGTATTTCATTTCTCACCCAGCAAAGACTCAGTAACCCTTACCCTCCACCCCTGAGAGATCAGAAACTCTGGGAGGCAGGTGGAACCTCTGACAATGAATGTCCTTGGTCGGGATGTCCTGGACCAAGTGATGGGAAGTGGGAGGACCCCTTCTCTCTGCCCCTCTCCCTTTGGTGAGGGACAGGAGGGCCTGTCATCCCAATCCTCCATCTCTGTCCACCTGCTGTAGGCACCTGAGTGCTAAGGCTGCGCGGGTCCCAGCCTCCAGCCAGCAATCACTCATTCATCCCCTCAACAAAATATGTACTGATCACTCACACTAGAGCCTCCAGGCTCTGGGCTTCCAGTGGAGAACTGACTTGAATAAAACCTGGCCCCAGGGACTCCATATTCTAGTTTAGGGGACAGAAAGAATTCAGTAAAATACAGAGAAAAAAATAAAGTAGGAAAGAGGATAAAAATGTGTGTTGGGGTGACAGTTTTGATCAGAGGAGTTAGAGAAGGCCTCACTGAGAAGTGCCCTGAGCCTAAATCAGTGGAGGTGAGGGAGCCGTTTGGTATCAGAGGAAGAGCCAGTGCAAAGGGCCTGTGGCAGTAGCATGTCTGAGGGTTTGGGGGCAGCAAAGAGATCCATGTCACTGGAGGGGGTGCACAAGAAGGAGGAGAAGGGATGGGCCAGACACCTGGTGGGGGTGTAGTTCATGCATGAGTGGGATACTCACAACACGAGCCCAACAAGGAGAAACATCTCAGTGCAGTCGAGACCACCCTGCACGGGGAGCCCGTCGCTCACTTCACACGTAATTGTTGCTCACAGAGACTTAAGCACTGCTCTAAAGATGCTGGATGAACAGGGGCATGGAGACAGGGCTTCTGCAGGACAAGAGGCCAGGAGAGCAAGACCGCAGGCTGACGTCTCCTCTGGATGCCGTCCACCTGGCTGTCCTGACATAGCCTCAGAGTGGAAACTGTGGTAGCTTCGAGGCAGGGCACCCGGAAAGGGAAATCCTTCCTAGGTTGTACGTTGAGGGTTATTTTTAGAGTGACCAGTGATGACTTTGCAATATCACTTCCTGTGGGCGTCCCCTCCAACCCTCAACCACAGGGACGGGTCCTGCATGACAGGCCTTGTGGGCAGAAGCGTGCTCACATGTGCATACACACACATGCACACACTGTGGTGCACGCAGGTTGGCATTCTCATCCACTGCACAGTCAGTGGAGGCATGGGGACCATGTCCTGGCCCGCCTGCAGGATGGTGATCCCTGGGTCAGGGAGTCACTGTCTTCAACATCCCTGAGCTTCTGCTCCAGGTAGGTTCTGCACGAGATGCTGCGTGCATGCCGAGAGAGGGAGGCCCGGCCCCAGGCTCACACTTGCTCAGGAAGGAGAAAGGCAGGGGTCAAAGGAAGGGCACCTGCTGGTCTGTCTTTGCTCAGCACCCGAGGGGTGGGACAGAGAGAGAGAGGTTCCATAATGCACAAACGAAGGATGAAGTGATGTCCCCAAGGTCTCGCTGCCTGCTGGCCCCTGGCCAGGTGCCTGAGCCAGGTCTGAGCCCATCTGGACTCTCCCCCTGGGTCATCCACCTCTCCCATCGGGCCCTCACTTATCCTTCTCCCTTCACATCCAGCCCAGGCCCAGGCCCATGGCCACGATTTCTGGGACAGCCTGCACTTCACATTTCCTGTCCTGTGGACCCCTCAAATTTCCTTGGATTGGTCAGACCCCGGGGCACGTTGGTCGCTTAGCAACACCCACGTCACAGGGTGGCCATTCCTAGGACCTCAGAGGGTCTCCAGGAAACTGGCTCCTTCATGGATGTCACAGAATATTGGGGCCAGAGGGGCTCTGATGGGCAATGTGGAGACTTTAAGGGGCCAGGAAGATGGGCTCTTGGACACGCTGAACAGCCCGCTGACGCTGCAGATGCCCTGAACTGCTAGGCCTGCAGAGGATCTGGGGCTGCCTGCCAGGGGCACCCTTGCCCTCGTCGCCTGCTTTTTCGCCCTCTTTCCTTACTTCCTCTCACCAGCTACACCTCTGCCCTGTGCTTTAGATGTTGAGCTAATCGGCTGTGGGATTATTGCTAGCCACACCCTGAGAAACTGAAACTCAGTTCTACCTCTTTGGGGAAAAGAGTCGGGGAAGGACCTGAGCTACAAGCCTGGAATGCCACCTTCCTTCCCTCCCCTTTCTGTCCCCACCTCCTCCAGCACCATGCTTGGCTCAGAGTACGGACTAACTCAGGGAAAGGAAGGAAAGAGGGATTCACACCTTCCTTCCTTCCCAGCTAGAGTGGAAGCAGTTTGGGGGCACCTTGTACATTTCCGTATCCCCAACACCTCACCAACACTTCACCAGGGGCTTCCCAGGTGGTGCTAAGTGGTAAAGAACCCACTTGCCAATGCATGGGAGTTCAGTTCTTGGGTCGGAAGATCCCCTGGAGGAGGGCATAGCAACCCACTGCAGTATTCTTGCCTGGACAATCCGAGGGACAGAGGAGCCTGGTGTCCATAGGATCGCACAGAGTCAGACACAACTCACAACCTGTCACGCACGCACCTGTTCACCATGATCCCCGCTCAGTAGGTGCTCTGTAAACGTGTGTTGACTGACACCTTCTGTGCGAGTTTGTACTTTGGTGCCAGCTCTCCCTGCAGAAACTTTGGCTTCTGGTGCTGTGATTTAAAGAATAAAAATGGCAAAGGGCAGTGTTTAGGAGCTGTCTTTACTCAGATTGTCATACTTGATGACAACTCAAGACTATAGCCGGGGGCCACCAGGAGGCAGCTGGCATGTCACCACTGGTGTACCCAGCGTCTTGGCCAGGCTGATGCCACTTTTCGGGAGAATGACTTACTGTTTTTTATTTCTCTCCAAAGACATTAAACATGAATCAAATGACAGATGAGATGATTCACTGGAAGTTTTCTTCCAAGTTTCAAAACACACACACACACAAAACGGGATTGGTGTGCTGAACCGTATGTAAGTGAAGCCAGACGGCGTTAGGCTGGAGCCCTGCCTCCAGGGGCTCTGCTGTGGGCAGCACCTCGCAGAGGGGGACCTCGCCCTGAGGTCGGAGCCCTGTATCAACCATCACAAAACCCCAGAAGGCCATGGGTGTCTCAAAAACCCCTCAAGTCTAATGTTCATCATGACATTGCTTCCGTTTCTACCCAAGATATCTTGGGATGTGACCAATCCTCATTCATCTGGGGCACAGGAATTCACAATTTGGAAAGGGTTCATTTGGGGCCCATGGACTGAGAATTGAGTCGTGGCTCAGGTGGGAACCTGGCAGAAACGAGCCTTCTCCCACCTGCAGGGAGAAAAGTGAATGCATCTGCCAACCAGGATGCTGGGGAGAGGGATACTCACTGTCACCAGGCGGGTGAACTTCTCTGGTGCTGTCCAGACTCCCACTGGCAGTAGATTCCAAGCCGTTTTTGAGGGTAGAACGTGCCTCGGGGGCCATGTTTCCAAACTCATATTTTTCAGATGAGGAAAGTACAGCTGTGAGGCATGTGACTTACCCAAGACTGCCCAGACATCCCAACCCCACCCTTGGGGGGGAAGGACAGCAGTGCTTGTGACAACTGATTCCTGTCTGCTCACTGAGAACACCCTTCATCTCCCTCAGGGCGCTCCCACATTCCCACCTTTACCATTTGCCCGAGAAAGAATGCAGAGGCAGTTTTTCAGGTATTTTTTGACTCAAACTTTACCAATTTGAAGGACTTCCCTAGTGGCTCAGACGGTAAAGTGTCTGTCTACAATGCTGGAGACCTGGGTTCGATCCCTGGGTCGGGAAGATCCCCTGGAGAAAGAAATGGCAACCCACTCCAGTACTCTTGCCTGGAAAATCCCATGGATGGAGGACCCTAGTGGGCTACAGTCCACGGAGTCAGACATGACTGAGCAACTTCACTTTTCCTTTCACTTTACCAATTTGAACTGCCCTTCAGGTCATTAGTCCGAACTCCGACTTCTCAGCGTTGATGGTATCTTTTCTTCTTTCTTCAGCTGCCTGTCCTCCCCGCACCCTACATTTGTTAGTCTATCCATTTGCTCCTCACTGTCCTCCACCTCTCTGTATTGCTCTACGCTGTTCTGTACTGCTCAGTACTGATGTGTTGTTAGGCCGCTGGTTGCCCAGGCGGGTGCCTGGGGAGGTAACAGGCCCAGCTGTGGAGCAGGGATGGGACGCTTGCTGGTGGGCTCCCCAGAAGCTCGGGCCAAGAGCTGCTGAAGTCACAATGCTGCCCGGGCTCCCTGCACCACCAC